AAAGTGAGTAGAGGGAAGGTGGTGCTGGAGACAGGCGATATCAACATTAAATATATTTCTAAGTTCAGTAAAAAAGATGAAAATCCAAGAGTTGCCATATACAAACTTAAAAACACACGTAGTGCTACCTCCTTCAAAAATTATTTAACTTAACAGGGTGTTAGGATGTAACCACTTGCACTAAGCCCCCACCATAACCAAGGACAACAAAGAAAATGCTGGAACCTGGATCTGAGAGGCATGCAGGTCCATGGTGATGATGTGATCCGCCCCAGCGACCGAGAGCATATTGGCCACGAGTTTCGCCGAAATCGGAGCACGACTCTAAAATATAAAGGCACGGATTTTATAACAGGGGAGAGATGGAGACCTCCAGATTTCTCCCACTAAGATTTACAGAAGAAAGAGGAATCACAGATGCTTTATTACACTTGAAGAAAATTAACATTAATAATCCAAAATTAATACTTCAATAATTTAAACTTAGTAATTTAAATGATTTCATTATTAATAAAGAAAGTTATAGGTTATAATAGCAAAAGATACTCATCCCGTTTTATTCACCAAATATTAATTATTTACATCTACTACTGTGAGACAGTGTGCCTGATACTGGGTACAGAAAACAAATATCAAAGAAGCAAATAATTAAACATAAATACATGTAACATCACAATTTATATAATTCCAATTGTGACAACTGTGCAGGATAATAGGTCCCGGGAGAGAGACAGACAGACAGACAAGAGCATGAAGGACATCAAGTTAAAAGACACTGGTTGTCAGAGGCCCCTCTGAGGAAAGTGCTTTTTAAGGCGAGGCCAGCAGAAGCGGGAGACCAGTGTTGCAGCAAGAGCAGCCCATGTGACGTCATGGAGGCTGAGAGATCATATCCAGGGACGGAACGAATCCTAGCGTGGCTACAGGCAGTGGTCCAGGACAGAATGTGAGGGCATGCTGGGAGAGAGGCAGGGGCGCCTCCTGCAGAGCCCTGAAGGCCAAGGCCAGCCCTTAAAGACAAGTTTCTGCACTACAGCTGGGAGCGAAGGCTGTTACAAATTCGGCAAAAACCAGATCCAAGAAAGAACACCTTAAGGTGATGGATAATTTGATATTCAGAGAAACACACGCAGCGTGACACTGTATCCTCTCTGAAGGTACCCAACTTCTCCATAGCTTTAGGTTCCACACCATAAACGACAGACAGTAACTCTGTCCACGTCAAAACAATCCAAGGGACTACAGAGGCATGATTAGACCTAGGGAAAGAGTTCAGC